CCAACCCTAACCCGGCTCGGGTCGAGCCGGGTTGGATTTTCTGGCTCGTTTTTTTTTTCGAACCAACCCGACCCGACCCATTTTTTTTGGGCTGAATGCGGGTTGGGCCGGGTCGAGCCGGGTTGGCCCGTTTTGCCAACCCTACTTGAACCTCATGATTCCTTGAAATTTGCATGAGTTAGAGTTTATGAATAGTAAATTGGGATTTTGATGAAATGTAGTTGAATTTGCTATGTTCTAGGAAGAATGAGGCTTAGAGCATGTTATGGAAAATGCTAGGAATGTCATTTAATCGGTGAAAATGAGCTTAGATAGCTAAATGAGTATACTTGTAAAATGGCAAGAATATGATGCTTGATATTGGATTTCTTGCATTGTTGATAAATGGTATGGCTTGGTTGATTGATGATTGTGTCCTAATGATGTCTAGGATTGAGACATTTGGACCGACCGTGAGTGATCAACCGCTTGAACAAGCTATGGAGCTTGAGTAGCTCATTGGAATTGGTAAGCTCACACTTGTGTGGTGTTTTGAATTGAGTATTTGATGGTTGACTGTGAAATACTCTTGGATGCAATGTGTTGATTGCATTACACCATGTGTAGGTGTTGGTTTTGGAGTAGAGTATTGTTGACATTGGTGAAGAACAAAGGTCGACTGAAGCATTGAGGTAAGCCTTCGGACCTTGGGTGTAATTCCCTTGACTGTTCTACCAAGCCCTGAAAGGGTGGAGGTTGTGATTGTGTATATAAATGCAATAAAATAGTGTAATGCTTTGTTATACGTATGTGTATGCATTTGGTGTGGCATAGGATGGTGTTTTCCTATGTGGGTATGTTGCATGACGATGCGTAAATCATACATGGTAGTTAGCTGGCCAGTAGGACTATTTGCATCTGAGTTTCCTTAGGACAGCTTGAGAGCTCGAGGGATTTCTCCTGGAGATGTATTGCACTTTGCATAGATATGTATTTACTGCATTATTATTGTTATTGCTATTACACTGATATGGAACTGTGGGGTGGAGAGATGCTCCAAGGACCCCTGGTTTACTGGATATATTCGTATATCTCACCCCGTGTTGTGGGGACCCCCTTTCAGGTAAGGATGCTGCAGGAGCCTCTGGTGGCAAATGGCCATATCTGGATTATGCATGAAATGTGGCATTTCTTTTGAGTTTATGCATGCCTTTTGTAGTTGACCTGTATAGGATTTTATTTTGAAAGCCCATGGTCATTTGTATATCTTGATTCATTGGATGAACTTAGCCTATGCTCATGCCTTTGGCTACACCTTTTGTTGATGGGAGCCAAGGGAATGATCATGGTGTTTTGTAAGCTAAGTTCCATGATTTGTAAAGGATATGTAATGTAAATGATGCCTACTTGAAATTCAATATATGCATGCTTGTTATGTATTGAGTTGTTGAATTGGTTGGGCTGAGAATCAATTAGGTACCTTTTGTTTAAATTTGGGAAACGATGAGAAAACAAAGGTCATGCTGCCCAAATTCTAGCTAGATCTCATGAGGAGAGGTTGGATGAGTGCTAGGATTTAGTTGTGGGGCATGGACAATTGGGGTTTGGAATGGGGATGCACCTTCCTCTAGGCTTGGACTTGAAAAATGTGGGAATTGGAATTCCCTGGCAGCGCGCTTAAGCGCCCAGGAGCGCGCCCAAGCGCCCTGCTGCCCCTGTGAGTGCCAATGCATTCGGCCTCCTCGCGCTGGAGCGCCCAAGTGGGGGCTTAAGCGCCCAGGGTTGCGCGCTTAAGCGCCCTGGTCCGCGCTTAAGCGCCCTTTGCTGCAGAAAGTTGGGTGGCTTACTGCCCCCTCGTGTTTAAGCGCCCAGGGTTGCGCGCTTGAGCGCCCTGGTCCGCGCTTAAGCGCCCCTAGCCACTGAGGGAGGAGATGCTTCTGTCTCTGCGCGCTAAAACGTCCCAGTGGGAGCTTAAGCGCCCAGGGTAGCGCGCTTGAGCGCCCTGTTGCGCGCTTAAGCGCCCATTCACACTGAAATACCTGATGCTTCCTGCCTCCGTGCGCTTAAGCGCCCAGGTGGAGGCTTTAGCGCCCGATAGCGCGCGCTTGAGCGCCCGGTAGCGCGCTGAAGCGCGCGGGGCCTGTGACCAACACTCTCTTGTGTTGCTTCAAATTGTCTTAACTTGGGCTACAGTGCTCCGATTTGAGCACGGTTTGAAGCCACGGGTAGCTAATGAAGAAACCTACAATATAGTAGAAGTTGTGAATTAAATAAGAAGTAAATAAATGGTTTAAAAATGGAAAATGAACATGATGTTAAGCTTAATTTATCTGATTCCGCAAGGTAATATGGTTATGATCACGAAAATGGGTATTATAAGTTCGGTACGTTTTAAAATGAAAAATTTATCCGGATTTTTAATTGAACCCATGTGATTGTAACTGCGCTTAATATCATAATGCGATGTTAACAAACCGGTTCTAGAACGGGGTGTTACAATAATAGTAATCTAGAAAAATCATAATATAGAGTATTAAAGTTTAAATAGAGATCTGACTGTGCTAGAAATCATAAGACTTCTGAGTTTATTAGGGAAGGTGTGTGTTAAGATACTAGAATGACAGAATAACAATTAGGTGAAATTGGAAGAACTGAGGATACCTCAGCTATGGTGTGGGGAGACTATTTATATAATGATAAAGGCAATAGAAATGTCTTGTACGACATATTTTGTTAGAAAAGTGACGTTGAAATAATTGAGGGAGGATAATATGTGTTAGAGTAACAATACAAATATATATACAAAAAAGAAGAAGAGTAACAATACAAATAGTTTCATTAAATACACACAAACATTTGAAACTTGCAATAATATAAAATTGAAATTGTACCGCACAAAAATATATGAATACAACAAGAAAAAATCTGAACTCAGTGTGTTAAACAATGTGTCCTGCAGACAATTATGCTCTTTATATGGTGTTCAAGATTCGTAGACAGTTATCTCTCAGTATAAAATAAATTATCTCTATTATTGTGACAACACATTAGCTTCATCGAATTCAACCTATATCTGACCAATCGCACTAGAGTACAAGAATACAAATGCTAAGAATGTACAAAAACCAATAGGAAAAAACTCATATTAAAATTTTGATTCTCGATTTATTTATAAAAAACATGAGGTCACTTGTTAAATGACACTCATTCAAAGATAAAATAACATATCTTTTTAAATTAAATTTGTATTCATAAAAATAATTAATTCCAACATACTTAACTAACTTGCTTCGTATTTATTGTATCTAGGGAGTTAGTACTCGCCTGTTTTTAGTGAGGAGATCCTGCCGGTTTCAAGTGAGGAGATCTCACCCGTAAGTTGTAGTGGTCATAGGTGAGCACTTGTGAACTTTTATCTATGATTTATGGATTTAATATTTTTCATGTTGTAAAAGACATATAAAAGTGTGTGGACCCATATGAGGTCATATGAGGATAAGAGAAAAAAAATGGATCTATATACTTTTATATGTGTAGTAAATAAAATTATCTCTTACAGGAATATTAAACCCACGGTTTATACTAAGAAAATGACTATCAATAGAGGGAAAATAAATAAATTTGTCTCTGAGAAATTTGGCACTAGATATACTATTAAAAATTTCAACCATAATCTTTTAGAGAATTATTCATTTTGATTATACCAGTCTTTCTTGAATAGTATTGTGTTTGATGCCTAATAACTAACGTTGTTAACATTTGAAGTTTCTTAAATTTTAAGAGTGAAAATTTCATTTTTCATAAACTAATGCGTTAGCAGTCATATTGATTACCGATGGCTTTAGGAGTATTAAAAAAGATAAAAAATTTACCACCAAGCACAGGGTTATTTCAACTTAATTAACAGTCTTCATGTCGAGTCCTGGAAACGCAGCCTGTCAACACTTAATAGTGATTAAGCTATGGATAATATCGAAATCAAAAAATTTCAATTTGTACAATTTAATTGGATTTAAATTACTAACTTTTTTTGTTGATATTAACTGGAGTGAAAATTTTGAAACCGACTCTAGCCGCGAACACAATTGGACTTTTCCTCGTCGCGCTTTTGTCCGGAAGTTTGCACATTCTTTCTTAATTTTTATATTAAATTTTAGAGTAAACACTCTTTTTTGTCCTTGTCAATATTTACGAAATCTTTTTTAGTCCCTGACAATAAAAAAGGACCAAATTGGTCCCTAACAGTATGTAAAAAGGGCCACGTTAGTGACGGAGGAGTTGATATAAGGACTAATGTGGCTCTTTTTTATAATTTTAAGGACTAATTTGGTCCTTTTTTATTGTTAGAGACTAAAAAGGATTTCGTAGATATTGTCAGGGACCAAAAAGGGTGTTTACTCTAAATTCTATAAGTTGTTAAAATATTAGTCAATGTCGATCACTATATTAGTTTCTTAAATATTTATTAATAAATATTTTTTTAAAAATAAATATAAAACAGTTATAAGATGTTCTATTCTTTGATTATCCATTTAAATTAAAATGTTTATTCTTTTTTTTTTATGGACTTGATATTTGTCATTTTAAATGATATAAGTTATGTCATTTTAAGAGAGAGATAGACACAAAAAATAAAGGGGAAGATCCACTTACCACCAAAAAAGTTTACAACTCTTACAACCAATTTAATCACCGTTGATTTCCGTCAATTTAACAGTTATAATTTATTGGAAATTAATAAATGTGACACAATAAATATTATTAATTTATAACCATTAGATTGACGAAAATCAACGGCGATTAAATTGGTCGTAAGAGTTGTAAATTTTTTTGGTGATAAATGAATTCGTTCTCACAAATAAAAATCATGAGAAAAAAATTTTATTGTGTGTCTACCTATCTAAGAAACAATTTTCCCCTATCTAAGAAACAATTTTCCCTTTTTCATACTTTTTGAATTTTTTGTATTTCATGTCTTTTCTTCTTTACTCCTCCGGACATCCAATCCCTCGACAGAAAGAAAGACATGCATTTTCAGCGCTCAAGTACCTGAATTGCATTTCGCTACTGAAAGCATAACTAACAAACACAACTCCCTCATTTCACAAATCCAAGTTAAAAAGTGAACAAATTCACAATCAAATTCACCAATCGGAGAGACCGAGTGAGCCAGATCTCGGAGTAACCCCTTCTCTCCTGGTTTCAGAGAGGGGAAAGGGGAGAAGAGAATCACAAATCTTCGATTCGCCATCGACAAAAATGTCACGAATCTTCGAGTACTTCGTGGTGTGCGGGATCGGACCGGAGATTCGAACCGTTGACGGAAACAAAGGCTACCATGGAACTGTTTGTATGTATCTTCCTTCTCTTCTCGACCAGTATCCTCCTCCCAATCACTCTCTCTACCCTCCTCCACCTCCTCAGCTTTCTACAGTAAGTACTTGTGCAACAACAAAGATCTCTTCATATGTTTTCGCCTTTTCTGAACTCGTTTTGTGATTTCGAATAGTTCATATGTGTTATTACGTTGCTGATGTCTGTGATCGTTGCTTTCAGTGTGTTCTTCCGGCTGGTGTTGAGTTCTATTCGTCAGGATATGATTCGAATGTTCCTTCCACGTTTCCGCGGAGCTATCCGATTGTTTTGACGGGTATGTTTGTGAACAAGCATTATCTCCAATTTTCCTTGCTCGCTACTTGTTGTTCTTTTGATTTTGGTGGAAATATCTTAGCAAGTTAGGCACTGTTTGTTGAAGCTTCCTGCTTAGATGGTTAACTAACTTAATTACCTGGTGAACCTCCTGAATGTGGTCATGGTGAACCGTTATTATGTGATTAGAGATTGCGCGTATATTGCACCATTCTTATTATACTCAGGGCTGTGGTATTGTTTGAGATGCTCTCTAGAAGATGTAATAGTCTAGTGGTTAATTAGGTAGATGTCAAAATGTATGCATACAGCTCTCAACATCCATGAAGTGCCTTGTTAATAAACACCTCTCCATTAAACCCCAACTAGTGAGGTTGGGGTGATGGCAATTCTTGTACGCAGCCTCACCCTTGCAAATATGCAAAGAACTTGTTTCTCGAATTTGAACCCATGACCTTTCTGTCACAAAGGAGTAGCTTTTCCACTGCTCTAGACTCGCCCTCTTGAAGTGCCTTGTTAATAATGGAAATTTTATTGGAGATTAGTAGTAAAGTACAGCTAGGAGGAGGATAAGTAAATTTTTGTTGATAGTTTCTCGGTATTACTGCTTCTTTGGGATAAAGTGGTCTTCTTATCCTCTCTTTTGGAGGGGTTTCTTTATTTGATATTGAAAGAGATTGGTGTGCTTTGCTCAGCTGATGTGTATTCCACCAGCCCCCTTTTTCATATTGAAGAGGATACCTTTCTTCTGCTTCTACGTCTTCTTTCTCTTAATGAATACCTTTTCTTATTATAAAAAGAGATATAGCCTCAAAAACAGTAAAAGAAAAGAAAGACAAGGAAAATTAAAGAGTCAAGAATGCAACAAGGCTCCCCCAATCTCTGCATATTGGGAAACTCCCTTCAAGAAGCCATGTGCAAAGCATCAGAGAGAAGCCGTGAACACAGGCTTTAGCAAAGCAAATCCTGGGGCAAGAAGAGGTTCTTAAAAATGTAGGCATTATGCTTTAACGAAGTGAACTGAGAGAAACTGTTCCAAACCCAAAGTTCATCCAGCACCCCCAACCCAAAGTTCATCAAGCTTTAAGTCTGCAAATTATTTTTATTATTTCACATTTACACTTTTTCTTTTCCGTGACGCTCTCACATTCTTAACAAGTTTTTCAATACATTTTTTGAATATTTTTTTGATATTGCAGTAAGTTTGTATGTTTTGGTTGCTTGCATCATTGTTACCTTCTGGTGTTGTTATTATTCTCTGATATCGTATTGACTTAAAAGTTTGATACAGAGGGTGATGGTTCAAAAATCTATGTTAGCTGTATTTCTTTCCGGGATCCAGTTTGTGAGGATATTGCACAAGCCTACCGGATACAGGCAAATTCATATGCTGACAAATGCATCTGTCTAGTTTCACGCTTGCCAAGTTTTCGTGTACTTAGGAGTGCTCTAGAGGAACTATTTGCACTGTGTTTTTCCCCAAATGGAAGTAGGTAAGTGTACTATGGTGGCAAAACCTTCACCTGCTTTCTTAAGGATCCACCTGATGAAATTATGACAATGTTTGTGTATGTTCTATACTTAGATAATAAAGTAATAATAATTTTTACCTTTAAAAAAAAATCAACACATAACTCAGTTTGATCATTTTCTTCCTTTCAAATAAAATGTAACTGTGAGTTTTGTTTTAGTTATACTTCATGAATGGGACTGAAAGCTCTTCCTTAGATTAAACATGAAAATCCATGGTATTGTGTTTCTATTGCTTTTAATGTTCCCAGCTCTACAACAATTTCAGCAAGCCACTATGGGATGTTATAGCACACATGGTGTCCAGTGTGCCTTTGCCAACTCCTGGTAAGGAGCGAGTTCTGTTTGCTATCGACAGTTGTCTTCTTTCTGTAGAGGCTCCACCAAACGATGGGCTTCCCCATGTTGATGTACAGCTTACTTGAACCTTTTTTTGTGGAGCTATATTAGCTGCTTGCTTCTGCTTCATTTGTTAACAACTGTCCTAAATTTTGTGGTGTAGATATCATTTCAGCCTCTGGTGCAGTGCCTGGATGTTGACAACTTAATGAGACTTTTTACTGCAGTGTTGCTTGAGAGGAGGATTTTACTTCGAGCTAACAAGTATCTTTCTTACTTAAGACTATTGAAGTAATTCGCAGTTAAATTTTGGGTCAACAAAGACCTCTCAAGTGGCAATGATCTGGTTTCTTGACTTCTGTCTACACTACCATAAAACTTCATGTTGATCACAGCTGACTTTTTGAAGCTAATAGTAAAATTTACCTTATATATTTTTTAAGTTTTACCTGTGTTTGCTCTATGCTTTATACTGATAATACAGTTGCATTTGGAATTCATTTGGATTCCCCAGGATATCAATCCTATGATATTTTGACAAAGTGATGAGATATGATAGTTGCATTTGATGGAACAGTGTCAGAAAGGCTATATTGATACATGGTGGTGTTTACACCTTGATCTGCCTGACCCCTCCAAAATGATCTTATCCATTTTTTATTAAATATGTTATTTTTCCCTAAAGGGAGTTGGAGTTTTTTAACTAATTTAATTATTAGCTGTTGTGTTGTGACCAACATAGCTGATAGTGTCAAAATATGGGAATATTGTACATGGGAATTTGTGCCCCCATGAATATTTAGTAGTCTTGTCCTTAGTCTTTATATATATATATTTATTTGGCTTTTATCTAACTTATTGAAGCTTAAGAATGTTGGCCTGCTATGAAGAAAAAGTTATGAAGGAAGGATTTTTCTATATCTTCTCATTTGATTTGCATACACTACAGTTATTTTTATTAATAAACCACTTATCTCGTAGTTACATAATGCAAAAGTGAAATTGAACTAGGGCTTCATCCTGATACATTATGATTTGGAGTACATACTATATCAATATTTCTTACACTATTAATTTTAGGGGGAATTAGTGTTAAGGACCAACTACCGGGGTGAGTCATGCTATGCAGTATATCGTATGGGTTGATCATAATTCTCCCTCAATTTTATGTTAGTTGTTTGGTAATCTGTCATTTAGACTGTATATTCAACTCAGTTTGTAAAATCATTGTTTAGTCTATACTCTCTTTTGGCAGATATTCACTTCTAACTCTTGTATCGGAGGCCATTTGTCACTTAATCTACCCATTTCGATGGCAGGTGAGGTTTGGAAATGTTTTGTAGACTTGACATGATTGTTTCCTTTATTTTGTCATTTGTGTACTCGAATCGTTTTTTTTTTTAAAATAAATTATTGCAGCATCGCTTTAAATGTTATGGTTGATTTGCTGTGGCCTTATTTCTAAAAAATTCTGTGCATACAGGGGTGGACCTACATTTGGTGCAAGTGGGGTGATAACACCCTCAAACAATTTTCGTAATCAGCATATGTAGTTGTTTAAGCAAGCTCGCTCAAATGTATAAAAATATGCCCCATGCCCCCCACCCCCAAAAAGAAGAAGAAGATTTTGCAGTATTTATGTGTAAATGTATATTTAGCACTCCCACTTGAAATTTTCTGGTTCTGCCCCTGTTTGCATATCACATTTGATAATAACTTGTAATGTTAATTCCTAAAATGCTAATGGCTTTTGTTGACTCGCTTCTAATCTCTTTTTCTTGTTTTTTCTTTTTTGTTTTGTTTTCCTCAAGCATGTGTACATTCCGTTGCTGTTTTTCAGTGGAGTAGATTATATTGATGCTCCCACACCATATATGATGGGGCTCTATTCGGGTGTTGATACCTCTGCTCTGGCAATGGATGGTGTTAGTCATTACTTCTCTTGTTCCTCACCACCACTTATTTTTGAGGAAGTCTGCCCATGCATTTCATTTAGTTGTTAACTTCTAATTAGCTCTAATATTTTTCATTATTCTTTTGGTCGAAGGTATACTGTTATAGCTAAAGATTCGCTATTTGTAATGGAAAAAAGGTGATTATTAGGAACAGTTAATAAGTAACTGTTATATGCATTCCTGTTTTGAGAAGATGACTTTATGGTTTTAGATTGCTGATTCCTGTTCTTCAGTTTGTTACTACTTTGTATTTTATTCTCTAAAGTTTCATTTATTTGAACAGGATAGAGTCAGGGATTAGTGCCATTCTATATGCTGTATCCTGTATGTCCATGATGAGGCCTGGCTTTAGAATAAACAATTATCTAATATCTATTGGTGATTTTAAACAGCTGTGACAGTGACAATTTGTTTTTATTGAAATATAATTTTTTTTTCTTAATTGATACAAATGATTTACAATGATAGGGAGGTTTATACAAGAGAGAATGAGAAAAAATAGATAAGGATGACTTAGCAATGAGTCATTAGTCCTAACCACTAATTAATAGAAAATAAAAAACATAAATATTTTAATCCTAATTTCCTACACTCTCCCTCAAGTTGGGAGGTAAATGTTGATCATTCCCAATTTGCCAATCAAGTCTTCAAAGGATGGACGGTATAGGCCTTTAGTGAGGATATCTGTAGTCTGCTCTTTGGTAGGAACATAAATCATACGCATACTTCCATCATCTAATTTTTCTTTGATGAAGTGGCAATCAACTTCCACGTGCTTTGTTCGATCATGGTGTACATGATTTTGAGCTATGCTGACAGCTGTCTTGTTGTCACAATATAGTTTTACTGGTAGGGAATATGAGATCTTCAACTCTTCAAGAAGCCTTCTCAACCAGATTCCTTCACAAGCTCCGTGAGGTAAAGCTCGAAAGTTTGCTTCAGCACTACTTCTTGCAACCATTGTTTGCTTTTTGCTTCTCCAAGTAACAAGATTTTCCCATACATTGGTGCAATAGCCCGAGGTAGATCTCCTGTACACTGATGAACCGGCCCAATCTGCATCAGTGTAGATTTCAATTGTCCTATTATACCCCTTTTTAAAGAATAATCCTCTGCCTAAAGTGTTCTTGAGGTATCTAAGCATCCTATAGACTGCACTTAGATGTTTCTCCTTGGGTGAGTGCATGAATTGACTAATCCTACTCACCGCAAAGACAGTTTCAGGTCGCGTATGGGATAAGTAAATTACTTTGCGAACCAATCTCTGATATTTCTCTTTATCCACCTCGTTCCCATCTTTAATACCTAACTTGGTATTAGGTTCCACATGTGTCTCGACAGGCTTACACCCTAAAATTCCTGTTTCCAGCAAAAGATCTAGGACATATTTTTTTTTTGTGAGAGTGATGCCCGCTTTGCTCCAAGCAACTTCCATACCGAGGAAATATTTGAGAGTTCCAAGGTCCTTCAATTCGAACTGAGCTGCTAGATACTTCTTCAAGGAGGTCAATTCCTCACTATTATCACCTGTAAGAACTATATCATCCACTTACACAATAAGAATAGCAATTTTACCATCCTTACAATGTTTGTGGAAGACAGTATGATCAGTCTGTGCTTGAATGAAGCCTCTTCCTTTGACAACTTGTGTGAATTTGTCAACCCATTCTTTAGGAGAGTGTCTCAACCCATATAGAGACTTTTTTTAGTTTACACATTGTTATCTCCCCTTTTAAAGCCAGGTGGAGGATCCATATAGACCTCTTCATGTAAATTACCATTTAGGAATGCATTTTTCACATCTAATTGTTGCAGAGGCCAATCTAGGTTAGCAACAAGTGATAAGAGAACTCAGATGATATTGACCTTAGCAACTGGAGCAAAAGTCTCATCATAATCTATCTCATGAGTCTGAGTGAACCACTTCGCAACCAATCTTGCCTTGTATCTGTTGATGGTATTATCTGTATTGAATTTTATTTTAAACACCCGTTTACATCCTACTGCCTGTTTTCCCTTTGGTAGGGTCATTATCTCCCAAGTTCCATTTCTTTCTAAAGCATTCATTTCTTAGCATCCCTCCATTTTGGATCATTGAGAGCCTCATGTATATTTCTCGGTATCTTTGTACTGTCCAACATAGTATTGAAAGCACGGAACCCCAGAACAACTTTTCATATGAAATATGTTAGAAATAGGATGAGTATTACACGATCGAGTACCTTTTTTGAGAGCAATGGGCAAGTGTAGATCATTTTCGTCATGGCACTCAAGTGTCGGGGTGTTGGAACTAGAACTTGGTTTAGAATCCTGGCAGTGTAGAGGCTCTGGGTTATTCACACTTTGAGGAGGCTCCTGATGGTGAGGATTCTGTAGCTCCCCTTGTTTACAATAGTATAGGTAATACTATGGCATCAGTAGGTTCCAATGATTGATCTTTATATGCTGCTATAGACTCCCCCTGAAGAGTAGTTAGGGGAAAGAAATGGTGAGTCTCAGAAAGGTGACATCCATAGACAAAGACCTTACGAAGAGGGGATGAATAACATTTATAGCCACGTTTAGTAAGAGAATAACCAATGAAGACAACCGGAGAGACTTAGGATCAAGTTTGGACCATTGGTGAGAGGGAATATGGACAAATACGACACAACCAAACAACTTGAGAGGTAGGGAGATGTCTCGGAAGGAAGGGAAGGTGCAAAAAAGGCTAGAAAAAGGAGATTGAAAGTTGAGAGTGTGAGATGACATTTGATTGATAAGGTAGAGGCAGTGAGAACAGCTTCCTCCCAAAGGTATTTAAGAACATTCAGAGTGAACATAAGAGCCCAAGCAACTTCAAGGAGATGTCGGTTTTTCTTTCTGCGACTCCGTTTTTGTTGGGGTGTGTCAGGACATGAGCTTTGATGAAGGATGCCATGTGGGGAAAGATATTCTCCAAGAATAGAGTTAAAATACTCTTTGTCATTATCTGTACGAAGAATTTGTATAGCAACTTGGAATTGAGTTTGAACCATGGCATGGAATTTTTTTAAAATGGATGTAGGATCTGACTTGTCCTTTAGAAGGTGTACCCAACAAACTCGGGAGTGGTCATCAATGAAGATAATGAACCATCGAGCACCTGAAATATTCTTTACACGAGCTGGATCCTATATGTCACTATGAATTGAATAAAATGGGGGGAAGAATCACGGTGAGCTTTAGAAAGATAATGAACACGAGTATGCTTGGCAAGTTGACAAATATCACAAGAAAACGAATTAAGATTTTTATTAATAAATAAGTTTGGTAACAACTTCTGAAGATAGGTAAAATTGGGATTGGCTAGCCTACGGTACCACAACATAACATCATTACATGAATCAAAAGGAAAGAGTCTTTTTCCACAAAAACAACTTCATGAGTCACATCCTCCTCAAAGTAGTAAGTCCATCATCTTTTCTAGCACTGCCAATCATCCTCTCTTAGTCATGTTCCTGAAAAACACGACCATGTGGAAAGAATTTAGCAAAACAATGCAACTCAGAAGTTAGCTTGCTAATGGAAATGAGATTGCAAGCCAGAGAAGGAACATGAAGAACTGATGTGAAATTAATTTGCTCAGAAAGTTTAACGGTTCCGTGTCCTGCAATCTGGGAGAAACTGCTATCGGCGTTCTTGACCCGAGAAGATTCAGAGTATGGAGTGTAAGAACAAAACAAGGTCAGATTACCTGCCATATGGTCAGAGGCTCCAGAATCAAGGATCCAACGATTTTGACTATCAACATGGAAAGTTGTACCTTGTTGGGCCACATTACTAGTGGCCTTAGGAGGTTGAGTCAGAAGTCTCTAAAGTTGTTCAAATTGAGTCTTACTGAGAAACACACCATCAGAGTCAGAGGATGCACCTCATCAACCTTGTCATCAGTTGAGAACTTCATGACCTTTATTTTGCCTTTTTGGCTTCCAATTTGCAGGTTTCCCAACATTTCTGATGGGTATGACCAATTTTATTGCAGTGGGTGTACCATGGACGACTATCCCGTTTTGATTCTCCAGAGGAACGGTCAACGGTACGTTTGGCGGCCAATGCAGACATATCATCAAACTTATCAATTGATTCCTTTTCTCCCAGCATAACTCTCCGTCTACTAGCTTCTCTCCGAACCTTAGCAAAGGCATCAGCAAGTGAGGGTAACGGTCGCTGTCCCAATATTCGTTCACAAACCTCATCAAGATCTCGGTTGAGGCCAGCAAGAAAGTCATGAAGCTGTTCCTTCTCCAAGTGTTTTTTAAACTGGGTATTAGCTTCTAATCCTTTGAGGTCGGATGCATAATGAAGATCCAGTTCCTGCCATAAATTTGTTAGTGCAGTAAAATATTCAGTAATGGACATACCCCCTTGACGCAAGTCTTTTAACTTAATTTTAAGTTCAAAGACTTGAGAGGTATTTTCCAGATTGGAATAATTTTGTTGAACAACATCCCAAATCTCCTTGGCGGTATCGAGGAACAAATAGGTTCAGATGATTTGTGGTTCCATGGAATTGGTCAGCCATGCCATTACCAAGGAGTTATTAATCTCCCAATTTTTATAATCAGAAGTATCCTCAGCAGGTTTTTAAAATTTTTCCGTCGGGATAACCCATCTTACTCTTTGCCCGGATGACCAACTTAACAGATTGAAACCATTGCAGGAAATTCTTACCGTTCAACCGATGACTATTAATCTGCATGGCTAAGTTGTCTCCAGAGGACTGAGAATTTGGGGCAGATGAGGAAGCGGAAGAACGATCTGAGGAAGCCATGAATAAAGAGAGAAGGTTTGACCGTGGTCCCGAAAATCAAGTTGCTCCGTTTTTAGATCTGACCACTGAAATAGGTAGAGGAGGAGCTGACGAGATGATCTAGGCAGGTTGCGGTGAAAAATGCTTCCGGGAAAGTGGTGCATGGGCTACACACGTCGGAGAATGGCCGCGCGTGAGAAGTCTGACGGCGATGGGTCCGATGGCGTTCAACTGGTCAGAGCCTTCTGAGTTGAATGGTCAGTCCACCTTCTCGATTGGAGGTCTATAGGTATGGTTTCTGGGTTTGGGTAGAGGTTGGTTTGTGTTTGGACTGGTTTCAGCCTTGAGGATGGCTGATCCAGGATAGGAACGAACCCGCTCTTGATACCATATTGAAATGTAAATTTTTTTTTTTTTTTTTTTGAATTGATACAAATGATTTACACTGATAGGGAGATTTATACAGGAGAGAAAAATAGATAAGGAGGACTCAACAATGAGTCATTAGTATTTAGTCCTATCCACTAATTAATAGGAAAAAAAAGGGAAAAATTTTAATCCTAATTTCCTATAATTTTACTCCATATATGGAAAAACTTAAGAAACTAAACTAAATGATTAGCAATTAGATATGATAATAAGTGACTTAAATGTCAATTCATTTGTCATATTTTCAAATTTGAGAGTTTCTTTCTCTATCTCAGCATAGTTAGATAAAACAATTATCATGTACATGAGAACTGAAGCTTCCAAGAGCAATAGGACAATAGTAGCAAGTAATAATACTAAAGGGGAAGAATGTGGTGGTGTAGAATGTGTATAGAATGATTATGACTATGCTCATTGTAAATCCAGGGTTGAGTCAGTTTATGAGCAATCCTGCTTGTAGGTGGACAAGTTCTCAGTTCAAGGCCATCATGGGATTGGCTGGAGAGAAACTGAGAAGGTGGGAGATGGAGGGGTCAAATGATAGATGTATGGAAATTACATTTTTTCCCAAAATATCTTTAAAATTTTCTGTCTTCTGTTTTTGTACCTTTACATTTTAAACTACCAAGAACACTGTAGAAGTATCATATCCTTGGTCTTGCTTGTAACCCTGTCCCTTGCTTGGCATCTATCATTTAGGTTTCACTATCTTCATATAATTGGTGAGTTATGTTTTCTCTATCTCTAACCGGTTTTCAATGTGAAGTGTTAGGGTAATTTTTTTATTTTATTTTTATAATAATGTTTGGTTTTGTTCATTTAGAGATTAGCATGCGTGGGAGGAAATTCTATTTGTTTCTAATCTTTTTGCTTTGATAAAAATATTGATGTTTAACCTCTTGTAGGTAGTTGTTGTGGACCTTGACTATAATCGTATCAGTACATCAGAGGAAATTCCACCTATTCCTGAGCCAGAATTCAGCTTTTTACGTGGTGAGATAATGAAGTTATTATATCCCAATGTAATTGGAATTGATGAGGTGAAGGCTGGAATAAGCAGTGTATCTGAGCATTATCCTAAATCTGGGGCTAAGCAATGGGGAGAGGATCATGATCTTCAGCTAAGGTGATGTTTGAATGCTAGTTTTATTCACTTCTTTCCATTTGTTACAGATTTAAAAATCTTTGAAAATTTACTGTCTCTTTGGCTTATCATATGAAACTCAGCAAGTTGCAAGATTGATAAACTCCTCCTGAAGCTTTTCCTTGGTGTAGTTCTCTGGAAAAAATTATGATATGCTTTATTTTTTTCATTCTAGAAGATTCTCAGTAATTCTATTGCAGCAGAGGATTCTGATGTATACCTGGTTGGAGTTTCTGCTGTTATTGTTTAAATTTAATGTAGTTGGTAATACTCGTATGTTTGTAAAAAAAAAGAATCGTCTTATTAAAGTCTGTAAATTGTAGATGTCTGGGACTGGCTCTCCTAAATTCATAAGCTATTAGGTAGAGGCCTAGGAATGGTTTGTTATTTGTGATACTCCCTTTTACACAATGGCCCCCTTTGGGCCCAAAGCTTGGAGATAATGTTAACCTTGTGCTGAAATTTAAATTAATTATGAGGAATTCATGTGGCAAGGATTGAAGTCCAGTCCACTTTATTTCATAGGATTTGACACCAAATAGGACCAAATTGCTTGTTGCAATCACTGCTTTTTGAGATCTGGGTTGATGGCATCCTTAGAAGCCTATGTAGCTTTAAGAGTACTCCCTGGCCAATTTCTTGTTTACTAAGATGAAGAGTCCTTATTTCAGTTATTTGTCCCAAATCAAATACAATTTTAATTGAACTAGATGTGTGAATTGACATACTAAATTTTGTTAATTGTGTGTTATATTCCTAAATGTAATTTGAAATTGTCCAACACAGCTTAACTTGAAACACTGTTCTACCCAGAATAATTAGAACTTTGCTCATTGTAGATCCGATTTATATTATTACTGGGTTCTAGTTCTGCAGTCTAATTTTTGTTTATTGTTTTAGTTAAATTTTCTTCAAAGTGGCTGAGTCTTCATTATAAAATTGTTGTATTATGTCTTATGGAATTAACCTCTGTCATCTTCATGAGACAAAAGATGGCTAAGAACTAGAGTTCAATTGTGAGATGGTTCCATGTACATATGAGGTGGACTTGGTTTGCACCATTGTTTTGCTTTTCTTATCAAGTTTGTTGTTTATCAAAGCGAATTAAGGAGAAGTTGGTGCATGGCTTGAATTTTTTATTTTAAACTTTTAGGTAATATGTGACTGAAACAAGGAAATTAGGTATTCAAAGATGAAAGTTGTCTCTTTTATACTGTAATTATAAGCTCTACCAATGAGACTTTCCTGGCACTTAAGTGGTAAAACTTTGATGACCACCAAGTCATGGACAGTTTATTTCATGCTTTTATTTGTGCTTTCTATTAGAGACTGATGAGACCTTGAGATGCACCACTCTAAAAGCTAGCTTAAAGGGTGGGAGTGCTCAAAGCCTTATAAACCCCACATTAGTTGCCCATACAACCAATGTGGGACTCCATGTCCCATACCTTGCAAATGGTATCAGAGCATCCATCACGTGGAGTTGTGCGTGGGGGCACGCACTTGGGAAGCGTGGTGGAATGTTGGGGTGGTGCATCTCAAGGTCTCATCAAATGGTATCAGAGCATCCATCACGTGGAGTTGTGCGTGGGGGCACGCACTAGGGAAACGTGGTGGAATGTTGGGGTTCCATTTGCAAGGTATGGGACTTGGAGTCCCACATTGGTTGCCTATACAATTAATGTGGGGTTTATAAGGCTTTGGACACTCCCTCCCTTTGAGCTAGCTTTTAGGGTGGTGCATCTCAAGGTCTCATCAAATGGTATCAGAGCATCCATCACGTGGAGTTGTGCGTGGGGGCACGCACTAGGGAAGCGTGGTGAAATGTTGGGGTTCCATTTGCAAGGTATGAGACTTGGAGTCCCACATTGGTTGTATGGGCAACTAATGTGGGGTTTATAAGGCCTTGGGCACTCTCACCCTTTGAGCTAACTTTTGGGGTGATGCATCTCAAGGTCTCATCAATGGGAGTGCCCAAGGCCTTATAAACCCCACATTAGTTTCCTATACAACCAATGTGGGACTCCAAGTCCCATACCTTGCAAATGGAACCCCAACATTCCACCACGCTTCCCTAGTGCGTGCCCCCACGCACAACTCCACGTGATGGATGCTCTGTTACCATTAGAGACTCTCTGACTAATCTTCTGATTGAATTCATCCTCAATGTTTATGAAATGGACCATCAAATTTTCCATGTGCATTTCCATTCAAATGTAACTAACCAGACTTGCTGACAGCACAATAGTGTCTAGTCTGATGTTCTTATTGTCATTGTGTCTTGTGTAGGATGATATTCCTAAAGTTCTTTGCAACACTTTTAAGTGGCTATCGCAATTTCCTAGTATGAATTTTCTATTTCTTGTTTCAAAGATTTGGTTTTCAATCTTCCATAGCTCAACTTTATGACCTTTGAAGTTTTCTTTTTTTGGCAATAGGAAAATAGTGATACTCATGTCTTCAACACTCAGGCATTTTTGAAGAAGCGGTCTCGATCTACTAGCCAACCACCAGAGCCCATGGTACTTTTAGCTCATAACATGGATTATGTTCTCTTATGAGGAGTGATGGCAAATTCCAATGGCTTAAATGATCCCAATCATGATTAAATTTCTTTGGTGATTGTAAAGAACCAATGTAACCGAAAAACTTAAGCTGTTAGGTGAAGTCACATTAATGATTTTATATTATATTTCTTTAATAAGCTCCTTCATACAAGAGCCCATTGGGTTTAAATGATAGATAAATGCACAAGCCCATCTACCTATACTAAGAAATTCCATAATATTTAATTATTTATTAATAGAATGGAGGTGGCATGAATCGAACTCATGACTAGACTACTTGATCATAGAGGTTCTGATACCATGTAAAGATCAAATTTAACCGAAGAGTTTAAGCTATTAGGTGAAGCCACATTAATGATTTTATATTATATTTCTCTAATACTGGTTATCATGGTTTAGATTCTGTCTCAGATGTAATGATGAAGATTCCATGTTTTAATCAGATTCTCTTTTCTCCATTGACAAGTGAAATGCTAATTGTATTCTTCATATCATTGTAGAATTTTCTGACTTAATACTAATTCCAGATTTGATTTTTACAGATAGCTCAGTTCCTTGACTCTCATGGTTTCTTGGATTATTTGGAGAGAGGGGTAGGTTCTGATGAAAACAACAATAATCTGCTTGATAAGCTACAAGATTCAATTGGAAGAGGTCAAAACCCTATGTCGATTCTTCCTTCATCCTTGGAAGAGCCTGAGATTTTAACAGTATCAGATTCTGATGTTGGAATATCAGGTGAAACGAAGGACTTCTAGCCAAAATTTCTAGCTAAATCAATTTGTTGCGAATATAAAATAAATTGGATATAGTTATTACTTCTCATTTCTTCAGGATCTGGTGGCAAATACACTTATGATAGATTTCCCTCAAACATCAGAACAGAAGAGCAAGAAGAAAAGAGGAAGCAGATTCTTGCAGCAGTTAGTAATGCCTTTGAGTACTCAGGAAGGCATCCTCCAAGGTAATGCAAGCAATGCCCGAAAGGGTTTAGGATTTTTTTCTTTTCTTTTTGTTGGTATTGATGCTTGGAAAATTATCCTGCATGTTTTTTCAGTTATTTCGAAACAATTCTTTTTTAAAAGGGAATCTCTCCCAGTGTGTCTCATGTTTGCATGTACATGAGGATAATATGACCAATTTCTGTTTATAAGAGGAGATAAGTCTTAAAAGCTTTTAAGTAAAGTTATACAGTCAAGTCTTGGCATCCATTACCTAGTTTTCCATGAAGCTAAGGAGGCCTTTGAATTTATTTGTCTGGCTTGTATCATTTTTTATGGGTGTCAGCCAATGCCAAACAAAGAAGCAATTTTGACTTACGTAAATAGTTACAACATGTTGTGCCACATGTTTTGCTTCTTTTTTATCATTATTGTTTGATAAAAGAAATATTCAACATTAACAACACCTTTATCCCAAACTAATTGGGGTTGGTGGTAGATGAACCAAAATGAAAAATAGGAAGGCATTGAAAAAAGATAAATATGAAAAAAGATAAAAAAATAAAAATAAGAATAAAAAAATAAAATAAAAAAATAAAATAAAAAAATAATAATAATAATACATATATAAATATAAAAGTAAAAATATAAGGGGAGTAAAAATAAAAATAAAAATAAAAATAAATAAATAAAAAATAAAAATAAATAAATAAGTAAGAGAAAAAAGGATGGGGAAGGGGAAAAGAGATAAGGGGGTGTTTGGTAGATGGTTTTTAAAGGAATAGATGGGTAAGTAAGGGAGGGGATCTGTGAATGACTTGTTTGGTAGAGGAGTTTCACAAATAAAGCAAGGCAATGGCTTTCCCCATGAATCACTAAAATCAGTGTAAAATTGGCTCCAAATCACTGTTTTAGAACACCACCTTGGAGGTGGTATCCCAAGAAAACTGGGGAAGTGATCTTTTAAGCGCCAAAATTGTTACGCAATTGCCCCTTCCAGTTATCTCTCTCCTCTAATACCCATGCTCTGTTCATGCTAGCTGGAACCAGACAGATGGAACGAGAAAGATCCATGGGTTCATTGGGGCATTCTGTCAAACATTTGACGAGCAAGCTCTATGCATCCACAACAAGAATACATGTCTATCAACATGTTGGAAACTCTCATTGTCATAGCAGCACTATTAAGAAGAGGGAAGAAATTTACCGGCTGAGGCTGCTGCAAAATTTATCACTCAGTTGCAGATGCAGTGCATATACATAAAAACTTATAAATGGTTTTGTTTTTTTTCAATATCTCTGAAAGGCTGCATCTTGATTGGGAGAGGTGGTGATGGACGATTGGGTTGAACGTACCTTAAGGATCTGCTACCTTATCCTCTCTCAAACTAATATATTGTAACAAAGTGAAGCTCATTCGGCTATATGAGAGAAAAAGAAAAGCTGTGCTGCTTTAGGCTTTAGGTGAGCTCTTGTCATCACAAGTCGATGTACCCACAAGCCATGACCGAGTGCACCCAAGTTGGCACACGCAGCAAGAACAACAATAACAGTTACATAATCAGGGGCCACACCAACCAGCTGCATTTCTATTTCAATAGTCAAGGGTATTTTCGAAATTTTATCATATTTCCCCATTAATCTTTTACTTTCAACCAAACATAGTCTCAGTAAATTTTATACAATTTTCCTGGTAATATTTTGGTCTACCAAACAACATTTTTAAAATTTCCCCACTTATAACCATTTCCCCACTAATTATATTTACCTGGTTAAAAAAAATTTCTCCTCTACCAAACACCCCCTAAAGGAAAAGAAGAATAGGGGGGGGATGAAGAAGAAAATGACTAAAAAGGGATCGTTTGGAATATAGGAATAGCAACGGGTCTAAGCCTTCCACCATACTTATAACTTTTCTCTATTCCGTCTTAAGGCACACCATCCGCCAATTGATAAAAATATTATTAGAGGAAAAAAAGAACGAAGTACAAGAGAGGAGGATGCATTAAGCTAAACCTTGCAAAAGTCATAACAAACTAGAAAAGCTCATCAACTAAGCAAAGCTTGGGTTTCTCTTTGGGTGTCCAACAGTGAAACCTCTCTATACTAACCTTTACAATTATCATAGTTGGGCACCATGAGGGGCTAAGAAGACCATTTTGTCCTACTAAAGAGGTGACACAAAAAGTTATCCTCGAACAATCTGGCATCCCTCCCAACCATAAGCACTAAATATCTGCATATGTTCCACAAAGTGGCCTATGTTTAAAAAATTGAAAAGCTAGTAGTCAATAAATATTCAGAAGCATATTAGAAATTTTATGCACCAATGGAGCCCGGAGAGTAGCAAGAATGTTTTTGATGATTAAGCTGAAACTTTCAGGTTTTGAGCATCAACTGTTGGTATAGAGTGTTCAGGATGGAATTTGTTCTTGTTGTGACCAACACATTCTGCTTTATTATGTGTATTGAATAAACTGATTGTCATGCTTGTACATTTTATGTTTCTTTTTCTTATTCCTCTGCTTGTTTCTATCTATCTTACCGTTGATCTCTCTGTTTGAGCAGTAAGGATCCTTTAGCAGCAGATACTCTCAGTCCACTTGAGAGAGCTGTAAGTTAACATCACCAGGATATTAGTACTGCTTGTGTGTCAATGTAGTATAGATGCAAATGGTCCCTAACGCTAATTTTTTGGTTTCAGGCTGAAAGGGACCTCATGGTGCTGGATATAAAGGTTAAGCTGCAGGTAGCTTATTTTCCCTTTCTTATGTATTCCCCTGTGTGTATGCATGCGTGCACCTGTTTGCATGAACTTATTTTTTCCCTTGTAGTTATACAAGAATCATTTTTAATGTAAATCTGGAAATTTAAAAATGCTAATTTGTCGTATAGTAGACATGCAGAAGTTAACTTATCACTGCTTCTAGTTTTTAATATTTTCTTCAGTTTGATCGGAGATCCGCAGAGATCTTGGTTGTCTAAACAAAGTTAGCTTATTCCTCTTGACGAGTGCACTTCCTTCCATCCTTTTGGGATTTGAACTTCGGACCTCCTAGTTGGATGTCCATGTTCTGCCACCGCTGGAAATGATGGGTTAAATTCTTTACCGTAGTTTGTATTGTGGCTTCTCCTTCAGTAGAAAATGTTGTGGCTGTGTTGTATCTTGTGCAGATATGTATTTTATGGATTTATGCAGTGGAAAATGAATTTCAATTCATGAATTGTATTTTCCATATGTTCCTTACATGAGTCATGTTGACCTTGAGAATATGTTGCTTAGTACGAAATCTCAAGTTGATATAACGGGGCTTTCCCCCTTAATGTCAAAGAGTTTGCTTGGTAGGACTGAAAATAGTATGGTAGAAGTTCCATATTTTTCATAGATTATGCAGGCTTGTGAGCTTTTACAAAGAGGTTGGAGGGTCTGTTATGTGTATTTCTTAGAGAGGCAACTGTGGTTAATTGGTTAGCTTCGTCTTCTGACAGGTTTTCATGAATTTTCCTGTCCCCAAGCTGGTAATGATTTTGGCCCTTCGGTTACCCAAAACATATAGGAGAGCTGAAAATTAATGTATCTAGACCTATATTATGTTCACATACATTGCCATTTCCACCTGCCCATTTTTCACTCCTACAATGCAAGTCAGAAACTTTCACTTTTTTGTAGTTAATCCCACGTCATACAAAAGCCTCAACCCTAAAGCTCCTCTTACAACATCCAGTGTAACAAAAAAATAAAAACCATTGAGCAGTGGTTTAGATTCTGATGTTTACATGCTTGATGTGTTATGATTCATTTAACCAGTTTTACTTTCTTTATAAAGGCCTCTTATTTACGTTGATGTTGGAAGTTAGCTTCTTTTCATTTCATCTGTTTTTCTATTTTTACATTATGTTTTTCTCGTCACACAGGGTTTATGGCTGCGGCTTCTTAAACTGGGAGCAACAGATGATCCTCTCTCATCCTTTGAATATGGAACAATACTTGGTATTGATTTTTTGCAGATCTCAACTTTCTTGCTAATACTTTGTTTGAGATATATAAAAACCATTAATGTAGTCTTACCCAACAGTTTAAGTTTTTGGGTTGAATTGGTTCTTTAAATGGTATCAGAGCCTCGGTGTACCGGGTTCAATCCTCACTGCCCTCCACTTTCTTTCTAGTGGAATTTCTTTCTTAGCACAGGTAGGTTGGCCTATGCATTGTTCACCCTTCAAGCCTAGTGGGCTTTCGTGTGAGGGGGCGTGTTAGAGATATATAAAAACCATTAATGTAGCCTCACCTAACAACTTAAGCTTTTGGGTTGAATTGATTTTTTACATACTAGTGGAAAGAAAATTTTATGTTTCTTGCCAGAAAAATTATTCTATATCACCAGTCTGGAGAGCTTGCCAATAAGTGATTTTGTGGTTGGTTTTGCAGCTTTGATTGAATCCGATGCAGAGGGGATTGGCGGCAGTGGATTTGTTGAATGTATAAGGGAGCATATACATTCAGTTAGTAGCTTTATTTAGCTAACCCTGATGATTATTTATTTCTATTTATAAATTCTTTTTCTGGGACAATGAAGCTTATGCTGGATCTTTTTATCAGGATTGGCACTGTCAGCTCACTGAAGAACAGTTTATTGCTGTGAAAGAACTGGTAAACAAATGCTATGCTCCTTTTTTGTATTTAACATTTTAATCCTTCATATGTGTGTTATAGAGAAGTAATAAAAAATGGAAGCTTGGTGCTATAAAGCTTCCACTGTGTGCAGGATCTAGCAAAGGGTTAGACCTAACGTGTGGGTCTATAGTAGGCAGCTTTACTTTGTATCATACTTATTAATCTCGGATAGCGACGCGTAGTAGCTGACCTTCCAAACTGCAATACCGCTATAGCGGGTAGCGCTACAACGCTACTGTGCAAAGTGTACCTAAGTGATACACTAAATTGTACTCCACAAATATAAAACTTAAAATATGAAAATGTGACATAAAAAACAAATTTGAAGGAGATCTCAAACTCAAACATAAATGATTTCAAACATTGAAATTCAAATCATAAGCAAATTGAAGGAATTAAAGTCTCAAATAATGTAACAACAAAATAAAGTGGCAAAATTAGTCAAAATTCAAACTGCCACTTAAGTGAAATGTCAAAATCGAAGAACTTAAGGAACTAACCATAATTGAAATCATGAACATCCAAATCTTCATCTTCACTTTCACTTGTATCTAAGTTGTAAATCTCTTCCTTCTACGAAGAGAACACTTTTGCAGAAACTATTGTAGCGGCGCAATAGCGGCCGCTACATCCGCTACACTTCGCCTGACCGTCGCGGCGCAGTATGTGGCGGTCGGTCGCTGCACTGCAACTCAACTCCGCTATAGCGCGTTAAAGCGAGGCTATTCACAAGTATGCTTTGTATTTGCTAGATGTTGATTACATGAATTGAACTTGTGATCTTCGGGTCATAGGTCAGCTCTGTATTTATAAATGTGAATGGCATTTACCGGTGTAGCAACCTTGATATGCAGTCAAGTAAACTAGAGGTATAAATGGGTAATACATCTCCCTTGATTAACATATCCAGCCTGTTGCCCCACTTCCCCCTTCCTCATAACAAATCATTTATAAAGGGATTCACCATTTGAAATCTATAAATGATCTTTTTCCAGTTACAAATAGGTCCAGCTTTCAAAGTATACAATTTAGGCATGTCCCTTTACTTTTATAGAAGTTTCAATATAATTCCCATGGTGTCCTTTGCATCAATGTTGCCTTTAAGTTTTCAAACGATGTAATCAAGTCCAATCATTAATGTTCAAATACTTGAGTAAATGATAAGCCAGCACCCTTTCTTTGATGTGGTGCCAAAATTATTGGCCACATGTACCCTTCATTGGGAAAAAGTCAGAAAAACAGTGCCAATTACCAACTCCTAGTTCTCTGTTTTCAGCAGGAGGGCCCAGTAACAACTGGATTTAACTTCCATTTAAAATCTTGAATGGAAAAATTGCTGCAATTGGAATTTAAGGGACTAAAATTATATTTAAGCCTAGCTTACTTGCTTCAAAATGGCAAGAGCCATGAAATACTAGCAAAAAGAAATATTATGATAACTTTTTACCCTTAGTTCTAATTGAGTTAATATTTCTTTTTTCCAAAATGTTTTTCTAAATTATCTTTTCTCTTTCTGAATTTGTTTATTTTCAGCTCAAAATAGCTATTAATCGTGCAACGTCACGGAATGACTTGTTGACCATTAGAGATGCTCTTGAAGTTTCTTCTGATTTGTATAAGAAAGACAATAATAATGTGCCGGACTATGTTCAACGCCATCTTATTTCTTTATCTATTTGGGAGGAGTTACGGTATGCATTACATGCAATCATTTCTTCATGATTTCATCATCATGGATTTGCAGTGTTCCGGTCATGGACTGAGTGATTAATTTGGTTCATGCACTTTCCTTGCAGGTTTTGGGAAGGATATTTTGACTATTTAATGGAACAATCTTCAAATAAGTAAGGATTTACAAATTCGCTGCATTTAATTCTTCTTTGATTGTCTTCTGTTTCTGTTTATAACAGGATTCCTCATTCTCTACCTTATGGTATCTTCTACATCCTCATTAATATTATCTTTCTTTGTTAAAGAAATATAATATAAAATCATTGATGTGACCTTCACCTATAAGCATGGTTGTCAAACTCGAGATTCTATGCAAACTCGGAAGGGTGAACCAAAATCGTAAATCGCAGAATCGTAACACGGATCGTAGACTCGTAACACAAGATACAAATTATATTTATATATATTTATATGCATATAAAGTAATATAATAAGCAAATTTAATTCAACCAACCAGCAGAATAATGTCATACAATAGTCATAATCACATAATGTCTCAAACACATAAATTCATAGCACACAACATTCAAATCCAAAACAATATATCAATCAAATCTCAATGGAATGATGGAATGTCATAATCATCCTCCTCCCCATCAACTTCATCACCATCTTCATTATTTCCTTCATCATCATCTTCATCTTCATCTTCATCACCAAAACAATGTTGCATGATGTCTTCTCCACCTTCCCCACCAAGTTCAGAACCACCATCATCTTCAGGTATCATCATCAAAGCATCTTCATCTGTAGCATCTAAGTTAAATTCAGGAATATCCAAATCATCTATATCTTCAATGTTGGATGGACTTCCCTCATTTTCCACAATCCATTCATCATCAGATGAAAGATCATCTATGCTATAAAACTCATGCTCTTGTCCAACACTTTTTTTGCGTTCCCTCTTCTTGGCCAATTTTAAATTGGCCATCACATATACAAGATCATCCATTTTCTTCTGTTTCAGGCGATTTCTTTTCTTGGTATGGACCTAAACAAATACAAACCCAATGAATATATAGCAATTAGCAAGTAATAGGTAGTGATTTTAAATTTTAACTATAAAATACAAATCATTTACCATCTCAAAAGCACTCCAATTACGCTCAACACCCAGACGAACTGCATGTCAAGCTTAATATACGAATGGCAAATCTTTGTAACTCTGGATGCTGAAATCCATAAGATTCCCACCATTGTGCTGGAGTCTTTAATTTCAAGCCTTCTTGAGCTATTGGACTACCAAAAATATCTTCTTGCAGCTTGAAAATTTCAATTTGCTTATCAATGTGATTTCTTTCTTCAATACTTGTTGTCATCCTATCCAAACATTGATATAGTCCATGCATAACTTCAAAATCAGCTTTAAAGTCAGGACCATAATGAAGTTGAGGATTAAGGTAATAGCCTGCAGCATGCAAAGGTCTATGGAGTTGTCGATCCCATCTACTATCAATGATTGTCCATAGAGGCATATATCTAAGGTGGGAACAAATTGAGTTAGTTTTAAAACAAAGGCTACAAATTACAAGGTTCTTTTGCTTTAAATTCATAATTACCTGCTTTCGACGCCTCTGAGATCGCTTCGAATAGTTTCTTTTGCTTTATCCATTGCTTGATAAATGTATCCCATGGCTGGTTTTTATTAGAATCAACCATACGAAGCACTTTGATTAACGGAAAAGCACCCCTCAAGCAATTGACAAGGTTATTCCAAAACTTCTTGTCTATAACCACATCCTCAATATATTTCCCATCCTTTGATTTTGCACACTGGCTAGATTGCCATTTCTCCGAAGTGAACATTCTTTGCAATGGTCTCTTGTTTTCACCTAGGCAACCCAAGGTCAAATATGATGTGGCAAAGCGAGTCATGCCTGGCCTCACCAAATCCTTTCCTTTTGTAAAATGTTGTAATAAACAAATTAAGGAAGTCCTTGAATATATATAAGTAGTAATTTTTCTCCCCTTTGCAATGGTATCTTTATGCATTGGTATGCCCTCAAGATCTTCCAACATCAAATCAATGTAGTGAGCGGCACAAGGTGTCCAATACAAATGTAATCTTTTTTGCATCAACAACCTTCCAGCAGCTTTGTAATTGGCAGCATTGTCAGACACAACTTGAATAACATTTTCTTCTCCCACCTCTTTAATAATTTCTTCAAGCATAGCAACAATGGCTTCAACGGTTATTGATATATGAGAGGCATCAATAGACTTCAAAAAAACTGTTCCTTTGGGGCTATTTACCAAGAAGTTGATTAATGTCCTCCTCCTTTGATCAGTCCAACCATCAGTCATTATTGTGCAACCTGTTTTCTTCCAAAAAACTTTATGTTTCTCCATATCAGTCATTGTCAACTGCACATGTTGCTTCAAATATTTTTCTCTGATTTCATGGTAGGATGGAGGTTTAAATCCATGACCATGTCGTATAACATCATCAAACATCTCTTGAAATTCATCACTCTTCACAACATTAAATGGTATAGCATTGGCATAAAAAAATTTAGCAATTTTTGAACATGCTGACTCTCTCAAATCCTTCTTAAATAAACAATTGATGGTGGTTGAGTACTCACTCTTTTTCTCTTGAAAATATTTGGAACTTGAGATTGAGATTGAGAGCTTTCATCTTCTTCCCCTTTTCTTTTTTCTCCAAGTATTTCACATTCATTTTGAGACTGACTACTTGATTTCTTATTTTGCAACAAGAACACAATATCCCACATTTGTTTCTTCACATCATCAGGAACAGATGGGCAAGCTATCACATCTCTTTTAGTCCCAGCCAAATGATGTTTCAGTCTATAAACTCCTCCAGTTAGTACCCTTGTACAAAACTTGCATTTAATTTTTTTTTGCATTTCCATCTACTACAAATCCATAACTCCATGCAACATCATTCTTACTTCCAAGAGCATTCTTATGAATTTTTTTAGAAGTTGTTGTTCCTCCACTTCCACATGCAGTAGTACTATTAACACCACCACTTGAAGACATTTTCTAAAAATATACAACATTCAAATTCACAACAAATAATAAAAATTAACCACAATTTAATTGGACAAGCAGCAAACAAAAATTAAGAGAACAAAAAAAAGTAATTTGATTTATCAAATAAATTTTTATTTGGATTAATTTAATTTTTTCTTATGAATGTAAAAGAAATGACTATTAATTTAATTAAGAGAACAAAAAAAAGTAATTTAATTTATCAAATAAATTTTTATTTGGATTAATTTAATTTTTTCTTATGAAAGTAAAATAATTAACTATTAATTTAATTAAGAGAACAAAAAAAGTAATTTAATTTGCTTTATTAAATAATTAAATAATTTAATTTGCTTTATTAAATAATTTTTTTTGTAACCACCGATCAGACTAACATGATAAATGATAAATGATTAGTTTTAAAAAAAAATGATTTTTTTAACTAATATGATAATATCATATAAATGACACAGTACACACACAGGCTAGAAGATAAGATAAACCAAAAACGATAAACGTAAACCAAACGAAAAAATTAACCAAACGACCAAGGAAAAAAAACGAAAGGCTATAAGAAGAAGAAGAAGAAGCACTAACCTTTGGCAGCGAAGCACGACGGCGAAGAAGAAGCAGAAGCAAACGGAGATGGTGGAAGACGACCCAGTAGCACGGAGGGACGATCGGAAAAGGGCAAGACGACCCAGTAGCACGGAGAGACGATCGGAGAAGATGATCGGAGGGAGGACGACCCAGTCTTCGCGCGCGAGTCACCTCTAGTGGCTGAAGATGATTTAGGGTTTTTTTTCTTCAAAAAAAGCCCATTTATATGATGATTTTGTGGGTCAAAAGTCGGGTTAATGGGTCCATTTTTTTCTGGTTTAAGCGTGAAACTCGTACGATTGAACGAGTTTGTCAAAAAACTCGTCGATTTTATCATTTTAGGGCCAAAAGCGAGTTTGAGCAGAAACAGAATCGTTGAGGGGTTGTTGAAGCGTAAAATCGTGCGTTTTTGCTAGTAAACTCGCGAGTTTGACAACCATGCCTATAAGCTTAAGGTTTTGGGTTGAATTGATGCTTTACATGGTATCAGAGCTCGTGATTAAGTGGTCACAATTTCGACTCTCATCGCCCCATTCTATTAATAAATAATTAATATTATTGAGTTTCTTAGTAAAGGTAGGTAGGCATGTGTATTGTCTACTCTTTAAGCACAATGGATTCGTATATGAGGGGGTGCGTTAAAAAAATATAATATAAAACCAATTACGTGGCTTTTACCAATAAGCTTAAGCTTTTGGGTTGAACTAACGCTTTATATTTCTCTTACCTAAAAAAATTGAGTTGTATATCAACATCAACAATACCTTTATCCCAAACTAATTGGAGTCGGTGATAGATGAACCCAAATGAAAGATACAAAGAGATTGAAAAAAGATAAAAATGAGATTCAAGTGTATATATATATACTTACGATTGAATAATTGTGTGTCTAATACGAGCACACAAGGAATATATTTATTTAAACAAGTACAGAAACTAATCTATCGTATACAAGATATGAGACTATTCTATTATATACACAATACTACTTTAACATACTATTCTAACACTCCCCCTCAAGCTGGTATGTATATATTGTGAGCACCCAGCTTGTTACAAATGCATTCAACCCGAGGACCTCTAAGAGCTTTAGTGAAGACATCCGCAAGTTGATCCTTGGAGTTGACAAATGTTGTTTTGATTTCTCCTGACTGAATCTTTTCTCGAATGAAGTGACAATCGATCTCTATATGTTTGGTTCTCTCATGAAATACAGGATTAGATGATATATGTAGCGCAACTTGATTGTCACAAATGAGTGTCATGGTTGTTTCTGTTCACAAAGATGGAGCTCCCAAATCAACTGCTTTAACTAGATTAGTTCGCAGGTGACAGCTCCCATTGCACGATACTCGACCTCTACACTGGATCAGGTGACAACAATTTGTTTCTTACTCTTCCAAGAAATTAGGTTTCCTCCAAAGATGATACAATAACCTGAAGTAGAGCGTCTATCCGAGGGTGATCATGCCCAATTAACATCTGAATAACGACAAATTTTTGTATGTCCCTGATCTGAATATAATAAGCTTTTCTCTGGTGTTCTTTTGATGTAGCGGAGGATCTCACAGCAGCATCCCATGAGAATCACAAGGACAGTCAAGGAATTGATTAGCCACACTAACAACAAAAGAGATGTCTGGTCTAGTCACAGTGAGATAATTGAGTTTCTCAATCAACCTCCGATAACGTCCAGGATCATATAATGGCTCCCCTGTCCCGAAAATAATTTGATATTAGTATCCATGGATGTATCAACTGGTTTATTCCCCAACATACCTGTTTCCTCTAAGATATCTAAGGCATATTTCCTTTGACAAATGGAAATGCTCTGTCTAGACTGTGTCACCTCAATCCCTAAGAAGTAACAAAGTTTACCAAGATCCTTTGTCTGAAATTGACTGAACAAATATTGTTTTAATTGGTCAGTCCCGGCTTTACCACTTCCAGTGAGAATGATGTCATTGATATAGACTAACAGATAGATGCACTTATCAGGAGATGTGCACGTATAAAATTTAGAATGATCAACCTCACTACGGATTAAGCCAAAAGCTTGAACGACAAAACTGAAATGGTTGAACCACGCTCAAGGAGATTGCTTGATGTCATATAAGGACTTACAAAATCTACACACCATCCCAGACTCCCCCTGAGCAACAAAGCCAGGCGATTGCTCCATGTAAACCTTTTCTTGTAAATCACCATGAAGAAAAGCATTTTTAATGTCCAGTTGAAGGAGTGGCCAGTGACGAACACCAGCGAGGGAAATAAACATGCGGACGCCATTTTAGCGACAAGAGAGAACGTGTCACTATAGTCAAGGCCAAAAATCTCAGTAAAGCCCTTGGCGACTAAGCGCGCCTTGAGACGGTCAACATGGCCATCAGGTCCAATCTTGACAATAAAGATCCACCGACAACCAACAATAGACTTCCCCATAGGAGTAGGAACAAAATCCCAAGTGCCATTGGAATGAAGAATGGTCATTTCTTCAAGCATCGCTTGGCGCCACCCTTGATGGGAAGTGCTTCACCTGTGGTCTTAGGAATAGAAACAGAAGAAAGACTAGAAACAAAGGTGAAATGAGGAATAGAAAGACGATCATAGCTCGAAAAGGTATAAAGAAGATAAGGATTACGAGTAGTACGTATACCTCTTCTTTGGGCAATGGGAAGAGCCTATGGTGAAGGATCCAGAGGGGAAGAGTCGACAGAAGAAGGCGATAAGTTAGCCAGGATCAAGTCTGCAGGAGGCACAGTCTAACGACGCTGATAGGTGAGAAAAAGGCGTCATCAGGGATGGAGGCAAGAGGTCGCTCCTCTAGGATAGAGTCACCTGCAGCTGGTAAAGACAAGTCAAGAAAAGGAACAGGAAGAACCTGATCAAATTGTGACAACTGAGATGAGATAGAATGAAAGGGTTGTTGATTCTGCGCACATATCTTCTATTCAAATCATCGTAAGCGTCCTCCAAGTCCACCTCGCTTTTATCTCCATCCCCATTAAAAGGTTTGTTAAAGTAGTTCATCCATATTTCATTTACATCTTTATGTCTTACCAAAAGTTTTTGATTTTCATCATTGATGCATCTAACTTAGGTGAGGTCTTTACTTTTCTTATCCCTCGTTTTTGCAAGTTTATATATACCTTTTTCACCATCCTTGCTCCCAAGATTTTTATACAAATCGGAAAAAACCTTGCCTCTAGCTTCTCGTCCTGCATTCTTTGCATTTTTTCTCGCCAATCTAAACTTTTGCAAGTTCTCATCATTGGGACTTTTATGCAAAGATCTAAAGTATTCCTTCTTTTGTTTAATTGCCTCCTGCACCTCTCCATTCCTCAGCCATGTTTCGTTTGTATGAAATCCATTTCCTTTGCTTTCTCCCAGCACTCTCTTTACCACATTTTGGATACACATAGCCATTTCATTCCATATTTCATTTGCTCCTCCATCAAACTCCCATGGTCTTTCATGCAACATTCTTTCCTTGAACTCTATCTATTTTTCCTCTTTTAGCTTCCATTATCTTATCCTTGGGTTCTGAGCCCTCTTCCTCATTTTAAGTACTTTGGTGCACCGAACCTCTAGGACTACCAACTTAAGCTGCGTAGCGACACACTCTCCTGGATAGACTTTACAGTCGACACTCTATCTTCTCTTCTATCAAAACCTCCATTGCTTTTACCAACATGACCATTTAGGTTTCCTCCTAAGAAAATATTCTCCTCTCGTGGTATTCCCCTCAAAACCTCCTCCAAATCTTCCCAAAATTGGCTCTTATCGTTTGATTGCAATCCAACTTGGGATGCATACACACTGAGGATACTAAAAATTAAGTCACCCACTACAAGCTTAACCAAAATAATCCTGTCGCCTTCCCTTTTGACTTCAGCAACTTTATCTCTAAAACTTCTATTGATCATAATTCCAACACCATTTCGACTCTTGTTTATACATGTGTACCACAACTTGAAACTTGTACCATCCGCTTTCTTGGCCTTTTCTCCAACCCACTTAGTTTTTTGCAAGCAAACACTATTCACTTTTCTTCTAGTAAAAACACCTGCTAACTCCCTCAATTTACCCGTTAAGGTTCCTATGTTCCAGCTTCCCTATCGCATCCTTAACCCCTTGGCTGCCAGGCTCGCCCATCTGCGTGTTGGGACCCTGACCTACTTGTCACCAAATCCGGGTGAAGACCTAGCGCCTTACCTTGAGTGGTATATATAAATATAGGGAAAACATTTTCTCATGTTGCATGAAAATTCAATTCTCATGTTGTGACCCTTCAATTTGCGTGCAAAGCTTTTCTTTTCTTTTTCTTTTTTTAATAAATGTGGGACACACCACTAGTTGAGTCACAACATGAGAATTGAATTCTCATGCAACATGAGAAAATCAAACCCCATAAATATATATATATATATATATATATATATATATAATATAAAACCATTAATATAGCATTACCTACTAGCTTAAGCTTTTGGGTTGAATTTGTTTCTTTATATGGAATCAGAGTTTCTGTGACTAAGTGTTCATGAGTTCAATCCTCACAGCTCTCATTCTATTAATAAATAGTTAATTATTGTGGATTTTCTTAGCATAGGTAGGAGAGACTTGGCCATTATCCACTCTTCAAACCCACTGGACTCTTATGTGTTTCTTTATATGGAATCAGAGTTTCTGTGACTAAGTGTTCATGAGTTCAATCCTCACAGCTCTCATTCTATTAATAAATAGTTAATTATTGTGGAGTTTCTTAGCATAGGTAGGAAAGACTTGGCCATTATCCACTCTTCAAACCCATTGGACTCTTATGTGTTTATATATATATATATATATATATATATATATATATATATATATATATATATTTGTGCATTGTATATCTTGATTTAGAAATATATATAGCCGTGCAACATATCGTTATTGATGAGTAGCTAGATGCTAATTGGATAAAGAAAATGTCTTTTGTTTGTATTCCCCAATCCCTGCCACCTTTTCTCCCCTGCTTTCCCCTTGCTCATCCTGCCAACCCCAAGAAAGGGCTTTCCGTGCTCATATTTATGCTTCGAATGATAATTTCAACACTAATTATGTATGTATGTTTGTTCTTTCTGACTACTTATCCAAGCATCCATTTTTTGTCTCTTAGATTAAATGAGATTAAATGCATCTATGATTCTATATCCATAGCTTATTGTTTATGATTTGCATTTTTTTCCCAGGTCAGCCAACTATGCATCTCTGGTGACAGCACAGCTTGTTGTGTTGGCATCACACATGGTATTGTTTTGGCTATTCATGTGCTTGAATCTCCTTGTTACCTTTCGTAATTTCATTAAAGTCAAACTGTATCTTTCTTTGCTTTCAATAATGAGCCTCTTTTGACTTTATGAAGGCTGGGCTGGGGCTTCCTGATAATGATGCTTGGTACATGATCGAAACAATCGCAGAGAGGAACAGCGTTGGATCCAAGCAATTTGTAAATTAATTCTATTTTGCACTGCATTTAATTTTTTGAAGTTTGGAATCTATGGTAAATGAAAGCATTTTGGTCCTCTTTACTGCCCAGAGATATAAATGGGGGGTTTGGTATCTGGAACAATGCAAGTCAAGAAAATTTCAAGACAGGGAAATTTCGGATTTGGTGAAAAGCTTATGGAGTATAAAGACTGTTGGGAACCTCCAAACAGAGTCTGAATTTTCAGAGAGAAGCAAAAAGAGAAAGAGAAAGAACCCTGTTGTATTGATTTTCTGAATCAGAAACAAAGAACAAAGGAGAGAAGTTCCCTCTAAGGGTTTCCCCTTACAACTGAACTCTGTTTATATCAAACCAACAAATCTAAATATCTCTCTCCTACCCTCTCTTACTATTTTTACTAACTCTCTAACAACTTAACCGCCCAAACATAGCTCTTCTAACTAACTAACTAACTAACTAACTACTCCTCTCTGGCTCTATCAGAGACAGATGGGCTTCATGAAATTTTAAATCTTTTATCGAAGAAAACGAGACATTCATTTTTCTGCCTACAAGATATTGACAATAAAGATATACTTTATGAATTAAAAATTAGAGTAAAGTACATTGACCTATCTTGAGGCATGCATAATAGATGGAAGCATCCCTTCTACTTTCATATCATACAAAGACCTCCGTTGTAGTTTATAGTATCTTAGATGATCTCTTAGGATTGGTTTCCATATTTCGTTATATTCTGTGGTTTGTTTTCTTGTTTAATTAGGATTATGAGTCTTCTATTAATATAGATATGAGATATTGCTTTGTCTATTGTATCACATCTTTCATATCAAGTCAATATTAATTTCAGATTATTCAGTTTTTATTCTATCTTTTCTTTGTTCCCTGCTTAAATCCATATAATTTCTAACAGTCACTAAAACAATTGTATGAGTTCTCTTTTGTATTAGTTTAATATCTATTTGTCTTGATTTTATGCTAACTGAAAATTTGGGCTCACATCATGAATTATTACTGAATTGTTCCTCATGTGATTGATTCAGATAAAAATCAGAGGGTTCTTGTCTCATATCCAGCAACTACGAAATGGATATTGGGGAGTCACCTCAATGAAGGCACAGTCTGTGTCATCACTTGCATTACCATCCCCACATCCAAAAGATGCAAAAGATGAGGACCAGCAACCCACTGAGGCAACTGGTGTTGGTAGAAGCTGGGTGCAGAGTATGTTCAGCCGAAATACAACATCTAGATCGAGCTCATTTGGTCGCGTTCGTAGATGGACATCTGATGGAGGCAATTCAGGTGCTTTGTTATAACATTATCTACTGGTGAAATTATGTCTCCTTGGTTCTTGAATAAACTGTCAGTTTCACTTTGTTCTACTACCTTATAATTTTAGCTACAAATGAGAATGGGACTCCTCGCAAACAAGATCTATCAACTGGTGGGCAGAAGAAGCTTCAAACGAATGTTCGGATACTTAGGGGTCATAATGGTGCCATTACTGCTCTCCATTGTGTTACAAAGAGAGAGGTGTGGGATTTGGTAGGTGACCGCGAAGATGCTGGTTTCTTTATTAGTGGAAGCACAGACTGCTCCGTAAGTGTCAATGTCTATGATATGGAATTACTTCGCACAAAGTTGTTTCATGATACCCAGAATGAGGTTGATACGCTGTGCATAAAACTTGTGCAAAAATGCAGGTTAAGATCTGGGATCCTAGTCTTCGTGGTTCTGAACTCAGGGCAACTTTAAAAGGGCATACTAGGTTCTCTCTCTCTTTCTCTCATTAGATTTCTTGTCTGGTTGTCAACATCTTTGAATAAGTAGTCATGTGCAACCTTGCTTCTGACTTTAAATGTAGAACTGTTCGTGCCATAAGTTCAGATAGGGGGAAGGTGGTGTCAGGATCTGATGATCAATCTGTTTTGGTGTGGGATAAGCAAACAACTCAACTTCTCGAAGAGCTTAAAGGCCATGATGGACCGGTATTATTTACTTTTTACATGTTTCGGGTTGTTCAATAATAAACAGTGTATAAATATTGTGAATCCATTGAAAGTATACAGACTCGATGATTGAAACTGAATTGAGACAGCCAATCATGTAGGTCAGCTGTGTGCGCATGCTCTCAGGTGAACGTGTGCTAACTGCATCCCATGATGGCACTGTGAAGATGTGGGATGTTAGAACTGATAGATGTGTTGCAACTGTTGGTCGTAGCTCTAGTGCTGTTTTATGCATGGAATATGATGATAATGTGGGACTCTTGGCTGCTGCTGGAAGAGACGTGTATGTTAAAATAAAAGCAATTCTATTTGTCATACTTTAATTGTCTAAAGTCTAACCTGGTGCTTGCACCACAGGGTTGCTAACATCTGGGACATCCGCGCTAGTAGGCAGATGCATAAACTTTCAGGACATACACAATGGATACGGTAAACAAGAAAAACATATTTTTCTACTCCTCTACTACTGTATGGCTTACAAATGTAAACAAATACATGATCCTATATAAAAAATGCAGGTCCATAAGAATGGTTGGTGAAACTGTGATTACTGGTAGTGATGATTGGACGGCAAGAATATGGTCTCTTTCGAAAGGACATTGTGAGGCTGTCCTAGCATGCCATGCAGGGCCAATATTATGTGTTGAATATTCTTCTTTAGACAGAGGAATAATAACAGGTGTGTCATCTTCAATTTTTGGCTCTGCTGTTATGTGATATCTTTATCTTGTCAGTTCTTGAAAAGAGTTGTTCTTTGAGAAACTTTTTGTTCTGCACTTTTATCTCCAGTGCTTTCTAAATTGTTAAATTTCCTTTCCAGGGTCAACCGATGGCCTGCTTCGGTTTTGGGAAAATGATGAGGGTATGTCGGTCTCTTAATTGATGCAACTTATTTTCATTCTTGACATTTAGCTTCTGTTTGATTTGGTAATATACGCACTATTTAAGGTCGCAATTGGCCAAGAAGCACCAATATGTCAAGAATATCCCTTGTTGTAGCTTACCCAGCATTTATTCATTGAACTAAATGTCTCATTGTAAAATATTAACTCGGCATCTCTACTCCACTTATATGGTGTCTTATCTTGTAAATTGAAAAAAAGAAAGAAAGAAAGGCAATTTTGTAAGAATAGGAATGCTAGTACACACTCTTTGGCAATCTCTTTTCAACACTCTTTTCATTATTGGGAGAAATCCCGTGTTGGCTCCGCTAAATACCCCCCAGTTTCTATCAGTGGGGCTAACATGAGATTTCACCCAATAATAGTGTTGAAAAGAGTGTCAAACGGTGTGTTGCTAGCCTTTATCTTATAAGAAATACATTGGAAGTCTCTATGTCATAAGCAATAATGTTCCAGAGTTTGTGTTATTGAGATCACCAGGTAACATTATACTCACTGACTGTGCAGGAGGAGGTATAAGGTGTGCAAAAAATGTAACAATTCACAATGCTGCCATATTATCTATCAATGCTGGGGAGCACTGGTTAGGTATTGGAGCAGCTGATAATTCTTTGTCTCTCTTTCATCGGCCCCAAGAGAGACTTGGTAGTTTTTCTGGCACTGGGTCCAAGATGGCTGGTTGGCAGCTTTACAGAACACCACAAAAAACAGTCGCCATGGTATGTGGATTTTATGCTTTTCTGCTATTCAATTCCAAATATGTATGTATGTATTGCTGTTTCGTGCCCAAAAATAGCTATGCTTCAAGATACAGTTCTTTGTTTTTTTTTTCGTTGAGGGGGGGGTTGGGGTTTTGGGGGTGGTGTTTGTGTTTGTGTGGGGGTGGGTGTTTTTTTTTGGGGGGGGGAATTTCAAGATAGTTCTGTATTCTTTGTTTCCAAGATGAACTTTACTGCCTGCATCAGGTACAAATTTTCGTGTCGGATGTATATTTAACTAATATCACTGTATCACTACTACCAAAATCATTAATATTCGGGGTGTTATTAATCCTTGAGACAAATAATTAGTTTTGCAGAACTTACTTGAGTAAGCGCATTACTTCTGTAGATATTAACTATGGCACTGAAGTTAAAAAATTAAATATATATTGATTTTTTTAGCTTAAATTTCAAATTTGTTGTTCTTTATTAATGAAATTATTTTTTTAATATAAAATAATGACTCATTATTTAGAAGTTATTGCTGATTATTTTAATAGGCATCAGTTGCTTGAGAACACACATTTTTGCCATATAACAGTGCATATGTGGCTGGAGAATGTTATTATATGCCTTTTTAATTCTATCTCTCCATTCATTATTGGTTGTTTTCTTGGGTTGACTTTGGCCGTATTATGACATCCAGGTAAGATGTATTGCTTCAGACCTGGAGAGGAAAAGGATATGCAGCGGTGGTCGTAATGGGCTTCTAAGGCTGTGGGATGCAACCATTAATATTTGAGCTTGATTGATATACGCGTATTCGCGTTTGTAATAATATTATAGGTAAAAAACAAGGCACTTAATGGAGGGGGTTCTCTCCAATATTTTTGTTTCTTTACCATGAGTGTATCATGAGCAAAATACCTGATGAGTCCGAGTTGGGAACCCAAGTTTGGCTGTGATAATCTCTTCTGCAAACACTTTTATTATATTGTGGTTAGAGGTTGATGTATCCTGAATGTACACACTGCGACAATGAACAGAACTTAGTGTAGATAAATTTAGTTATATTGTCTAGAATTAATATCTCAATTAGATTTTGCCATGAACTTTATGTTTACTTCCACATCTAGGTTCTTGGAAATTGGAATGGTTGATAAATAGGGAACAAATCATTGATGAAACGCACCGAAGCTTTGAATAATTGACAGCTAACAGGGTTTCCTTAAGATTGCTTGCCGTTGCCTGACTTTTCATTGGACGGCGGATGCTGGTTGGGGAGCATGGCCATGATGATGAAATGGTGGAATACGTTTTTAATTTTTTTCATATGTGGATGAGAAATTTTTTGTTAAAGCATGATCCATTTTTTTATAGGAATGATATTATGTATATTGAGATGCGCCAACAAAAAATTTACGGCAAACAGGCCTTGGATGTTTGTGGGAAGTATTAGTGTCAAAAAGTAGTTCATATACATGGAGGAGGATTAATTTATGGGTTATAACTTTCTGCTGTTACAAGAGAAATTTATAAACCTCCTGCAAACTCATGAAATTGTGGGATTTATTAAAAAAAAAATTAAAAAAAAGGCTGAAGGAAACTTTTTTTTGTGTGTGCAGGAGAGAATAAGTTTCTATCCAACGGGAGAAGTTCATTCCCCTTAATTTATATAGTGCAAGAATACTAAGTTTATATTAAACTTTTAACGCTGATTTTATTCGTATCAAATGACTTATACGACTAATGAATTAAAAGTAAATTTAAATAAAATTAATAACTAATATTAAAAGTAAGATTTAAATGTTCTATTTGCCGTTTTTCAGTTTAGTTGTGTCTATCTGCTTTGCCATGATAAGTTACAGAAATAATTGTCACATGCTAGGCTGCCTTTTGTCTGTTTGTTTTTTGGTGTTTTGGGGATATTCTGCTTATATTAAGTGCCTTTTATTTAAAAAAATTATACCTTCTTCTACAAGAGATTAATATATGCTACTCTTTATCCATTTTAATGTGAATTAGCCGGGGCCTTTTTTCTCTACCATGACACTTAGTGTCATCAAGAGTTACTGTCCATTTTGGGACTTCAACAGATAAAATAAAGATGGTAAGTCTCAAGTTCCAAAGCTATTAGCCTATTAGTAAGGGTGTATAAAATTTCTTTTCATCTTCTTAAACCTTAAAAATTGATAGTATGTTATTTAAAATTATATGTGGATGATACCAAAGTAGAGAGCGAAAAAAAAAAATTGTTCTTGACTGCTAAAAGATTCGTTTATATTAAAATTGATTAAAGTGGGCATTTCATGTAGAGTAGAATGGGACAACGTAATTTGATTTTTTTTAAGAAAAGAAAATGTAATTTACTCAAGTATTCCATTAAAACTATTTTAAACATGTAACACCATAGAAGCCTAGAAGGTACTATGAATAATGATATAATGTAATGTAATATAATTAATATTTGGTAATATACTCTTGAAGCGACCGTAATTTATTAGTTTTATTTAATTTTCACTGTTAGCAAGAAAAAAAAAATCAGTTGCAAAATTGGTTTATGGGTAGAGTATTATAATAATTTTATTATGGGATTCGTTGATGGCTTAGGGTAAAAATGCAATATATTTATTACACATTTATTTAACTATCTGAAAAATTATTAATTTTTTAATTTTTATTTAATAACTTTTGTTTATAACTTTTATCTTGAGTTTTTCGTGTTTTAAAACAAATATCAACAAAATCCTTTAGTTAGATAGGATTGTTTTGCTTGGGATGACAATTCGTGTTAACAGTTCACTTTCGTATTGGATTGAAGTTGAGCACTCATACAAAGACACTCAACATAAATAAAGATTCGTATCAAAACTTTCAATACAAATAAAATCCACTTATTTTAAGGGTCAATATATATGATTCGACATGATATAAATAACATAAAAGAAAATTAATATGGATTAATATTAGTGTTTGCAGGTTAGCACATGAATTTTTCCATGTTAATTTTTACAAACATGAATATTATACAAATTTAAAAATGAATTAATTGGAACGCAGATTTGTATCATATTTGTATGGTATCAGCTACTTTAAAACTTTTTAAGGTTTTTTTTTTTTAGTACAATGAAAGTTCTGGCAGGGAAGACATCGGTATATAACTCGCCGGGGCCAGGACAAACCTGTTCAATCTTTATGAAGATTTATGCCAGGGACAGCGGCAAATTAAACCCGTTTTACAGTTTATCTATCAACAAGAGCCTTCAAAACGGCCACAGAAAATCGAACCGTGCCCTTTTTGAAGTATAAATCGACTCTTTAATCAACTGTGTCACGCCTTAAGTTACCTCTCTCATTTTATGCATCAAAGAAAAAAGCTAGTTTAAAACTGTGATCCCTTCTACTAACAGGCAAGAATGTCAATATCACATTAAATTTTGAATGTCAACATCACATTAAATTTTGAAAGTCAATAAAATAGCTTTGACCAGAGCGAGGTTATTTTTATCTGTCATGCTGAGTACACAAAACAATGACCGCCAATATTGTAGGTTGAATGGCAAGATTCGACGCTAAGTTATCCGACAGATACAGTAGAAAATTGCCAATTAGGCTTTAATGCGGTGTGGTGTCCAATCTTGTTAACCCCGCAAAGCAGTGAAGCACTGAAAGTACTGAATCGGTCGATGGGTGAGACTTTTTCTAATCGCGTCAACCAAATCACACGGTAATCTAAACCCCCTGTTTTATAGGGCAATTGCTGCTATATACACTATCTATGGACCTAGCTGGTTTCTAATCATCACCAATCTTTTCCAATTATCATTGCTGAATTGCATATATACAAGGCAAATAACTTCTACCAATATGTCATTTTTCACGAAGAAAATGCTACCGTAGCTTATTATGCACTGATACTGACACTGGACACGCGACACGACACGACGACATGTAAATTCTAAAAAATGTCATATTCCGACACGTTAGGACACGTTTTGATATTAAATAATATTTTAAATATATATAATATAATTTATATTTAATACATATAACAGCCCATAATAAGTCATAACCAATCAAATTTTCAAATTTTATAACATAAATATAAAAAAAAAAAAAAAAATCGTACCTTCTTAATTTTTCATGTCAAATTTCATAACAGAAAAAAATTTATTTAGAAATTATTTTTTCATGTTTAATTAATAAAATAAAATTTAGCTCTAAAAAAAATAAAGTGTCGAAGTGTTAACTGCGTATCCGAAAAAGTCGATTGCGTGTCAAAAAAATGTGTCGGAACGTGTCAAAGTATTGACCACGTGTCCTAAAATATTGACCGCGTGTCGGAATGTGTCGGAGCGTGTCCATGTCGGACACGTGTCCGACACGCGTTATTTTCAAAAACCCGCGTATCCGTGCTTTGCAGACAGTAGCGTTATCTTGGCAATGCTTTGGGCTTCCGTTTACCTTCACTATCTTATGCAAGTAGTTGTTTCGAAAGTCAAAATCAACATGAATGGCAAAAGAGCAAGAGTTAAGTGTATCTCCTTTTAAATAACATAAGTTCTATTATTTTATGTATTACGGGTAATATATATAGTTATTATATGAAAATTTGCTTTTCTTCTGTCTCCACTCTCCACGTAGCTGAAGTGACTCATGAGAAAAAAAAAAGAAATAATTTTTCATATTATAATTATATATTACCCGTAATATAAATAGTGTTAAAAATTAAAAGTACACAATATGTATCCTTTAAAAGGACAAATCTCGCTATTTACGTCTTCCTTTTTTTTTTATGTATAGCTCAGAACATGCCATTTATTCAAGTTGCTAATTGTTAATATCTCATATTAGGTATATGGAAAAAAAAATCCTAATAATGATTTGGAAAATCATTCTCTTTTGCATTATTAGCTTTAAAGTTTGAGTGGGCTTGTCCATTTTCAACTCTAATATATAGCCTGTAAGATCTCATATCGGCTAGATATTATATTACCCGTAATCCTTCTCGTTGACCAGTGATGATAGTAGCTAGGATCTTCATAGGCACATATTTGTCAAACTGCCTTAAGTAATCAGTTCAGAGATCCCATCCGAATATTTATCTTCGAAATAAAAAAAATGCAGCCTTCTGTACTATCTTTCATGAAACAACCAGCTTCTTTTTTCTATTACATATTAGAATCCAAACTACAAGTTATTTTTTTTTTAACTTGTCTCTCGGCTGGCCACGATGATCCATGTTTCTTATATAATCTATTATATATGAAAGGTAATGAAACTTCATTTCAAATATTTAACAACCGTATTACCATGAAATCTATATAAAGGTCAATCTAAAAATGATTATCACTAAATCCTGACTCGAGATTAGTTATACAACCGGCTTAAATAATTAAAATTTATGAGGATATTGGAGGTCAATTCACTTCAAAAAGGAAATTATAGTCGGTATAAAAAAATATAAATTGCACAAAAGGGGACGTATGTTAGCTTAAATGGAATCAATTTTGATTTACTATTTTTGTTCAGCAAATCATGTGAAGTATATCAGTCAAAAAATATTCAGTAAGCATTGTGTTCTAGCTGACAGAATACTACAGGTTCAGATTATGAACCTTTTAGATGATTTTCTATGATGAGTTATAGAGTCTCATCACAGAGAATCCATCTTACCCTGCATAGTTCACCCTTGTATATCCACGATGGGAGCAAGCACCACACTACAACAGTGGAGGCAATGCTAACTGTTTTGTCAAAGCTTTTCTCCCTTCTCTTATCGCTAGGTGTTGGAGATTATAAGTAACGTATATTGTTTGAATTCTTTGTAACCGTAGGTTTGAATTTTTTGTAACGTATATTGTTTGAATTCAATTCTTTGTAACCGTAGGTTTGAATTCTTTGTAACTTATATTGTTTGAATTCAATTCTTTGTAACCGTAGGTTGTATGTTCGCCTATCTAAAGGCTACCAATGAATGAGATAAACACACAGTTGAAATATCAAGTTTATCTCGAGAGAATTGTGATTCCCTTATATAAATCTCTCTTATCCCATTGAAGAGGAATATGACTTTACACATTTTTATGACTTGTTACTTTGCTAAGATTTAGAGTCACCGTAGCAAAAATACAACATCTCCTATTGTAGCTATTCCTGTATTGTACTTTGGTGACTCGTATTATGTTTTGGTCCAT